GATCATTTGACCAGATTTGAAATTGTTTTGTTTTAGATCTGGTCAAATGATCTGCAAATTTGGCCAAAATTATAACTGATTGGTTTTTCTATTTATCAGATGATGCAGATCCACAGACATGATTATTAAACCAACATACAATTGATACAATTAGTTTGTCACTTAATTAAATATTTGATGAAATAATTAAATAATTGATCTGCTATAGCTGCGGCTAGCCGGTAATAACCGACCGATAACCGACCGTAACCGACCGAGTCCATCCCTAGTTACAAGTACATTTATGGAGGTTTCACTGTATAGCTCTTATATAAATTTTTATTTATACAAATTATGTAACTTACGTACGGTTGAATTACGCATTTTTCTAAAAGTTAGCTACAATGTTCTAATATGTCATCGCAAAATAACTTCATTCAATTAATTTAGAACCCTTCTGCAAAGAATATTGTTACCATTTTTATTATCCGGAGTCGTAATATTTATGATAGAAAACAAGCTATATTATCATGTATTGTAATAAAGTTAACTATCAGTGTGATACGTATACGTTCATATTTATTCGTGTAACCTGTAAGCGGAGAATGTGTGCAAAATTAAGAGAAAATTAAGAGAAAATACAAGAAAATAAGTGGTTTAAGTTGTCTTTTAACACTAATTAAAAATGATAGTGTGAAATTTTACCCGTATGAATTTGTAAATTTTTCCATAACATTTAATAATTCAAACTCTAAAGTTCCAGTTATTAATATCTTTATCTTTCGCCTTTCATTTTGAATTTGTCCTCCCTCAAGTCATTGTTTCTAAAAATGGTACAATTGACCTTTTGTGATTGCCTCTATTATCTACATATGCAAGTAAACAGTATCGGATATCAATTTCCTTGTTAGCCACTCATTATGGCGGATTTGTAAAATACCCCCAAATTTTAGAATTTTGATCACCGATTGTGAGTTATCTATTCAATAGAATATTTGACTTTATGTATTAACTTATCTGATCAAACAATTATCTATTTGAAAAACGTAACAAAGCTAAAATTATTTTAATAAATTAAAATGGGTTGTGATAGTGGAAAATGAACGGGTTAGATGCATTTTGATTATATATCGGAGTGGCCGATAATTTTTTGGGGTTCAATATTAGAAAACCAATAATAAATTTGGGGTCAAAAAACTAGTTAAGTTAGACAAATGCGTCATAATGTACGCGTAAATATTACAAGAAATTTATATAAATAGAATTCACAACAGCATTTCGCAAGAATATTTTTCAACAATTTCATCATATATTTAACAGAAACTCAACGAATAACTCCAAAGTAAATTTTATATTTCTTAAAAGTAATTTGATAATTTCTTACAATTTATTAATTTAATATCTTAATTATTACTATATATATATATATATATTTTTTTTTTATGAAAACAATATCAGCAATTTTTGCGCACAAAAATGAAAAAATTAGTCCTTGCCATTCTTTTAGTGCTATTTTTTTCGTCTATAACCGAAGCGGGGCCGTTAGCCTATGCTATATGCCAGACTGCATGTAATGCAGGATGGGTGGCATGTTATGCTGCCGGAGGATTGGTAGCTGGTAAGCTATTTTTCACAATAGAATCTCGTTTTATTATAATCATGCTAAGGTAATACTTTTTTTACATTTGTGAAGGAACCGTAACCGGAGGAGTTGGAGCTCCAGTGGCAGCAATTTTGTGCAATGTTGCTCAAGGTGCATGTATGGCAGCTTGCGCTGCTGTGATTTTAGCGCCAACCCCATAATTATCAATAGTTGTCTTTTTTATGAATATTATTTCATATTCTATCATGCAACTACTTATCATTTCGATATATAAACTTGTATTTACTTTAACCGAGAATATTAAATTATATTTGATATATTAAATATATTATGAATACAATTTAACTACGCAAGCCTGATGTAAAAATTTAGTGTCCGTTTACATATTTCCAAATTATAATAAATAAATTATTTTTACATGTTGAGACATGCTATTGGTTATTGTCAACAAGTGAATTTAAAAATTAATTAATGCCTTAAACAACAATATGATAATCGAACAGTTATGAGTACTAGAGATGGGCAAATGAATCTACCGTACAGGCTGCACAGCCTGTAAGTACTATACATTAACAGTTCTAAAATATTGGTGTAAACTTTAAGAATACTAGCATTCAAAATACAAAATTATTTATCTCACAATTAGGGATGGACAAGTCTGGTCTTAAAAAGGCCGTTCTATTAATGTTTTCAGTTCATCTCGGTCCCAATAACGGTCCTTAATTGGCTAGCGGAGAAAATCAAATCATATGACGTCTGCAATTGAAAATAAAGATATTTTTTAATTAGTTATTTGAATTATTCATGAGGACTGGCCCAAACTGGTCTCAGAACTGAGGACCGGTTAACCATAAGACTGGAAAAAGACCGTTCCTTATTAGGTCTTATCAGGACTGATCCATCCCTGCTCACAATTGTATTTACTAGCTTATTATCTTATTTAAAAAACATAAAATTTTAGCCACAAAAATATACACTATCTGACATTCAACCTAGCATTATGCAAACTGATAGAATTATTCTAGATGGCATAGATTATAAAAATTACACAGCGCTGCACCGTATCTCAAAATTTCCACACAGCTTGCGCAAAATACTTTGCAATTCACAAAAATGCTACGCAATGAATACTTTGTAGTTTCTCAAAAATTCTGCGCAATGACCCATTCATTTCCTGTTAAGCCATTTGAAGTTAAAACTTTGTTTAATATATATTTTTTCGCATTTACACAGGAGGGGAGAAATTAAACAAACATAAAAAATATTTATATAGTGTACTGAAAAATCCAGAATGTAAGCCATAAATTCCTGATCATTACAATCAATTTGTTACTTTTATCTGTTTAATTTGAAGGGAGCTCAGGTGTGAATAGCGTTAAACAAAAAATCGGCTTCATATAGCCTAATTGTAAGCACATCATATTACTACGTAAAAGTATTTGCGCCTAATAGGAACCATGCATGCGTACATGTGTCATAATTCTAATTCTTCCGTATTTTATCTATATTATTTGAATATGTAGCTAATATGGCAATTTGGATTGCGGGATCTTGTAAATCGACCAGCACCTAGAAAAATTGTACCAGGTTAAAAAGATGCATACGTACGTACCTGCGTATATATTATATACTGTCGACTCTGAATACAACGAACTCCAAACTTGAAATTTCACAATAGTTGGGCAATGGTTTCTTAATAAAACATAAGAATTTTTTATAATATTTTTTTTTTTACAATTAGTTCATTATAGAAGAAGTTGAGACTTTAGAATTATTATTATTATTAATATTAAGCTTTTTTTCAATTAAATAAACCAATATTTAATATTTTTACAATGTACAGTCTTTCGCTTGTGACATTCCAAAAAAAATTTTTTTTAAATCACTAATTTGGTTTTTTTTTTGACAAATTATATCAAGTAAATAAGTTTTTAACTTAAATGCTGCAGAATAATTCGTGTTTCCATTTTTCAGACTATGTTGATTTTTTTTCTTTACTACATTACTGTAAATGCAATATCTCATCTCATTAAAAATAATTTTGATCCCTTTAACTCGGTAGGTTCTGGTCAGGTGCATCGCGCTGTTGATATTTCTTGAAACTCATAAAATTGTATCTATCTGCTTAATACCAATGTTCAAAAATTATCACGTTACCAACGTGACTTTAAGTCTTAATAATTCTCAATACTTATAAACCGGTGGAAGGATTCGTTAAAAGTGGTGTAAATAAATTTAATATATCCAATAGTTGTTTAGCTTCTGATTTAAATTGTAGCTTTAGATTACAAAATAGTGAAGTATCAATTTACAATATTAAAATATATACCTGTAGCGAAATTTGTATCTTTTTACAAAAATAACAACTTAAAAATATTGCTATTTAGATAAATTTTAATATTTTCATAAATTAATAATGTAATAGTTCGATCATACTACAGTATAATTCTGATCTAATTATTCAGATGATTATTCGGACCCAACCTGGAGCACATTTTCTGGGTGCTAAAATCTACATTAAATGACCCAGTGAATCACCGTAAACGCGTATAAAATTCACTATGAAATGACGTAGAAAGATTTAAAAGATGATTATAAAACTCCAAACTAATGAGATTAAAGCTTACGCTTACCAACAAATGTTAACAAGAATAGTAACTCTAGCAATTACAACTTCTGCAAATGATAACCTTGATAAATGATAATATAAAAAAAAATAAACTTAATTTTATAATAAAATAAAAATAATTAGTCCAAAAAAACTAAATTTAAACAAACAAATAAATTAATTTTAAATATCAGTTTGTATAATTCATGATATTGCAACATTTAATGTTGCAATTTTTTTCAAGATAAATATTTTAATTTTTAGTAAGTTTATGTAAATTACTTTCAGCAAAGTGCATAAGTTCTATTTCTTTATAATTAAAAAAATATTAAATTGGTTTTAAATAAATTAATTTAATAAAAACAATTTTAAATTTAATATTTTTTATATATTAATTTAATTTCGAGAATACAAACTAAAGTTTAAAATACTTTTTATAACATCAAATTACCTATATCATTTAATGGTACATTTATATAAGACTTGCTATTATATTAGCTTAATACTAGGTATTTAATTAATATAATAAAGTCATAATTTGGATAACTTAGATATTAACAGAAATTTCAAAAAATGTTTTCTATAATCTAACCATTCTTATAATATATAAAAGTTATTTTAAATTTTATATATTATAAAAAAATAAGTATTCTAGTTATCTTTAAAATAATAATTTATTTAATAATTATATTATATAAAATATATTATATTGCTATACTTAGATTAAATATAGATTATTAATAAAAGATTGAATTAATTTTAGTAGAATTTTTAATTAAAAAAATGTTTATTATTTTGCTCAGATCTATTTTATTTAGATTATATTTAAATAAAAAAAGTTATTGTATGAAAGTAACATAGTTTTAAATATATAATAAGGTTTAAAATTTCTTTAAAAGCACATCTTATAATGTTTTTTTTTTTTTTTATTTAAAAGTATTATTTTTAAGATTCAAAATCAATATAGTATTCTTATAAAAATTTGGTTTTAATTTATTGAAATATTTAAATCAAATTGGAGTATTTTTTTAATCTTTAAACTATATTGGTTATTTTTAAGAATTTTTTTAAAAGGTTTAATATTTTAAAAAGAGTTTTATTACTTTATTCTAAATTTTCAAAAATTATACTGTATATGATGACTTAAAAAAAATTTATACTAGATATATTAATTTATCTGAATTTACTAATTTACTTCTTAAGTTTTATTAATACTAAATTATATATTATTTTATTCTTAAATATAAAGTTTAATGTAAAAATTTAATAAATAATTTTATTGTAAAATCTTATAAAAATTTTTTTATTAATATATAAAAAATAAATTTTTAGATAAATTTTAAAATAAATAAGTCTTTTTAAAACCAAATTATGTTTTCTTAATTTTTATATTACATCTAATCTTATTCTCTAATTCATTATAAATGCATTATATTATTAAAGATTATTAATTTTATTTAATTAAAAATATAATTTCTTATAATTAATAATAAATTAAGAGAAAATTAATAAACCTAATTTATCTTAAAAAATATGAATAACAAATAAAAATACTAAATTAAAGAATTAGTATAGTAAACTTCTGTCTAAATTTTCTAAAGAATTATTTAAAGTTGTAAACATCAGATTTTTTTATTACATTAACATTAAAGTTCAATAATATAATAAGTTTTAATATATATAAATACTTTATAAATAAAATTATTATCATATCATTTGTTTTGATAATTCAAAATTTGCAATTTTTAGTTATTTTAAATTAATTTTGAAGTTTTAAATATAAGTTTTCTTTAAATAAATATAAAATTATTTATATTTTTTTTTTTAAAATAACTTAATAAATTTTCATTTTCTAAGTTATTTAATGAATATTAATTAATACTATTTAAGCTAATTTTAAAATTTTATATAATTATAAGTAAATATAACTATAAAAAAGGTAACTATAAAAAGATCTGACTGTATACTTAAATATTTTAGTAAAATGTTCTTATAAAGTTATTAGCTAATAATTTCTTTTTTTATTGAAATTTATTATTACTAATATACAAAAAATTAAGATAATATTCTTGCAAGATGTATTAGCTAATACTTTTTTTTTAATTCAAAATTATTAAATTATTATTACTATTATTTTTTTTTAACTTAGACAGTGTTGCCAATTACCTTTATTAAGATTCTTGTATATATGTTGTTTAAAGTTGGCTTAAATTTTGGTTCAACATCTTTTGGCTATTTCTGTAAGTGCTCAGAAGTGGTCTGCTACACAGGCCAGGTGATTATTCTTGGTTCAGGGCTATACTAAGCTAGCCAATAAGACTCTAAAAAAAGAGTCTTAAGTTTCTATTTACAAAACTAAAAACTGAATCAAGCTATGTCTTCTAAACTTGAATCTTGTTCTTCTTTTTTTTTTTTCCCATGACTTAGTTTTGTTTATCTATATTTATATTCTTTTTTTTTTCTGTATTTTCTTGTTTAAAAAGTTTTGTTTTTTGTTGTTTTCCTTCTTTTTATTCATAGTATCAATTCCTACTAATTTTTCCCAATCAGCAATCCTATTACATTGGTTTTTCTATATATTTTCAAAAAACC